TGGGAGTGAGCCGCATCAAAACAACAGTTTACCACTCGATAGCGAATGATCTGGTTGAGGGATTTCGCCGCCAATTGAAAGGCTCAATGATGGCACAAGCTGATACTTTGAAGTGGAACGACTCATCACCACTTGTACTACCTGGAATTCGTCCAACTATCAAACAAGACATTGACTGCACATCAGATAAACTAGCCCATTGTAAACCGTAATACTACCAGGACAACTAGTAGACACAGATACAACAATGCCAACTGATTCAACTCGCATTGCGAGCCACATATCGCAAACAATGCGAAATGTTAAAGCAATACCTTCGCGCAAGTATAACAGTCGCGTCCAACTCGATTAGTTGCAAACGTGTAAATTCGTCTTCGTTCGCGTTGTTAAATAGCCGTTAAAACAACCGTACGAAGGACTTTATCAGGATATAGTGGTAAATGAATCCACAAAACCAATAGCTTGGCAAGTATTCGACATGTGATGCTTACCGCATTAGTTTTAATGAACTCACTTAGCCGAAGTGCTTTGTCGCATATTCGCACCAGATCACGAGTAGGAACGCCGTGCTCAAATTCTCCTGCAACCGCTAGGCATTTTAGTTTAGTCAATTCTCGATATATTGATAAGCCATCAAATATATCTTCGAAACTTCTCGCTTCTGACCTTTGAGTTCACTGGGTGGGCATGACTCAGTTATAGAAAATGTTGCTGGTTAAAGTGTTATCAAGCTACAAATATCTGTGGCATCTTCAGGGTATTTAAACGGACAAACAAACTTTTCCTCTTTCTCTATGGATAGAATTTTACCAGCTTTATACGAAGACCAGCAGGATAAACAGAATGCTAAAATAGATAATCAACCTATGCCAGTAGTTACTACGACATCAGATGAAGATGAAAAACCAAACAGTAATCCTAAATTTTTAACGCGCTCAGGCAGAACTGTAAAAAACCTAAGCGTTACGTCTGTTTTGCTGAGTAACAGATCAAAACAAACAATCATTGAAATATGTTACACCACTAAATTCATTCCATTTTATAATAAAAAATACGATTTGATTATATTTATCTACAATTACTCGTTTGGTCACAATGTCACATTCTTACCCAATCTTATTGGATACTTGAGGAAGACTCTAGAAACTTCTAATACGAAAACTACAAGCACAGTAACGTTTTTTCTACTGTGATTCTTAATTTCATACAACCCTAATTGTTTGTAACATAATTACGTTCCTGCTTAACCATGTTCTGTTTTGTGGACTTGCCGAGTGAAGTAGTGTCCAGAACACTAAGAAGTTAGAGAGGCTGTGTAGTTCATTTTACGTTACTTCCTTATTTATGACAAGCAAAAATCCTTATATCATGTGGCGTACACCTAAGTACTGATCGATAAGAACGGAACTAACTAAGCGATTATTGCACATAGGAAACTACGTAACACTATTTCGTTTCAGTGTTTTTACAATGTCGAAAAAACAAAACAAACTATATTTAAAATGCACATAGACATATTTTTTATTTTAAAAGAAACAAAAAATTTTGTTGCTAATACACTTATGTGCGCATACTCTTTTTCAAAAAACGAAACATTCGTCCTGAAAAATTACTTTCATGCTGTTGCATGTTTGCAAAACGCATGTATGTGAGTTTATTTTCTTTTTTTCTCACATATTGTGTCTTTGCGCATGTGAGAGTGTAATTTGGCATGCACTAATATATCCTTTTTTTCCTTTTTCAGGACGGCCGAAGAAAATGAAAAGCCGATGAAGTTTGCGATGAATCGAAATTTTTATGTACCCGTTTACCATTACTACATTGCACCATATAGCCTCTTATAGTTAGGAAAGATGACCGGACGCTGCTGAACATGGCAAGTTATCACAAGACTGTTTACTAGCGACAAACGTGTCGGGTTTAAACTTCTGGTTGGCCACTTCATAGGGTCATCATTACTCCGTTAAGTGAAAGTTTCTTCTACTCCGTCAACAACCATTTGAGTTATGTGAAAAACTCTATTCATTCTAAGCATTCTACATCTATCAGCTATGGACAAAAAGTTGTGGCACATCCCAACTAAACAGACGAACAAAAAAAACAAAGTGAAAGTTGGGGTTTGGAGTGGAATATAAAATGAAAATTCTGCTTTTATTTGCAGGACTCGCTTACTAAGTGAGTGGAAAAGTCCTGAAAATGCTCTGTACCGCAGACTTAATGGACGTCGGAACACGCATGCGCTAGGATTTAGCATAAACCTGTAGATTTTTGACAATACAGACGAAAAATGACGATAAGGTTTAGTTACGACAAAACAGATCGCGTGAGAACGATGAGTATAGAGATACAAAAGTATTCTGAGTTTGACAACATCTAAATAAGTAACACCATTTTTAGTCGGAACGTGGTGACTCAGTAAAATAAGGGGTCAGAAGCAAAGAGGCTCGAAGATATATCTGATAGAATATCAGTATATCAAGAAGTGATTAGTCTAAGCTGGCTAGCGGTTGTAGGTGAAGAGAGGCATGGCGTACTCACTCGTGATCTGGTGCGGGCGCATGACCTTTAGATGAATGAGTTCATTAAAACTAATGCGGTCAGTATCAGAATTTTAGGATTTACGGAGCTATTGATCTTGTGGATTTACTTACCGCTACAAGTATGACTCCAGTCTACGTACTCTATCGCACTTTTCTGAAGAGCTAGCGCAGATTTGGATTCTTGCCTAACACGTGTTATATTCACTTTAATTCTATTAGAACCGAGGAGATTATTCCGAGTACCAATATTCTCATCTAACAGGATATAAAGTCTAAAACCTTTTGAACCGAATCATCTGTTTTACGAAAGTAAATAACTGCGTCAAACCTTGAGGTTAACCGCTCGTCGAAAAGAGTCAGTTTGAATTTAACTTGTTCAGCGGGTTGGATCCTCTGGTTCTAGTTTTGATTCAAAATTTGTTTTAATATGAGGCTTGTGTTATTTCTAGTTGTTGTCCATTTTATCTTTATTAAGATTCAAGTGCATTGTGTGCGCTTACTGGGTCATCGACCCACCTTTTCTTATGTTTTCGTCTCCAGCTTTCTCGCTACTCTGCATGCTCCTTTTATACACTAAGTACCTTCCGGCTAGATACGTATCAATACACTAGACCCTATTAGTGTTTTCAGTCACAAGTCATTCCTAGTACTCGGCGTAAGTGCGTTTTTCAAAAGGGCAGCAACATTTGCCACAGGCTTAACTTCCAACAAATTTGTGTTTTCTATTCTCGTTCTATACTCTTGAATAGTTCATGGCTTTATCTTACTGGTTGAAGTGTACTATGCTGATGACCTAGGATGACTTAGGAGATGCTACCTAGTTATATAACGATTGACAATGTAAATTGGTAAAATATATTTTATTTAGTGTTATAACAGTAGGATAGCAGCCTTGGTCTGAATAATTAACTCTAACGTGTTAATTACCCGTTGTAGTAAAAGACATAAGTCAGGTTTACATATTAGAACTCGGACCAGCGCTGTGGTTTTGATTAATCACCCTACAGAGTTTTCGTCACCAACTTTCAATGACATCAGTTGTCACTTAAAATGGTTGAAGTCAGTTATCCAGCATTAAAATGTGGTTCTTTATTGGTTTTAATCGTTAGTATCAGTGTTCTCATCACAAACCTACAACAGCTACAATGGAATGCTATTTCTCCCTTCAGTTGATTAAAAACAACCGGGTCTTGGAATTCAGAGCAAGTTTGGTAAAGTAAGGTTATCATCTGTCTTTATCAAACACTCTTGACTTAACACTGTATTACATCAAGTGCTTCAGCACATAATTTATTTTAGGTGCATGTACTGTCATTTTGTTCAAGCACCACTTAAAGTGGTCTTTTTGGTTGAAAACATTTTATGAATAAACCATCGTCAATATTACTTAGTTATTAATAAAATGCTAGTTATCTACTACTGCATTTAAAAATTCTCACGATACACCGGAGGAGTCATCTTAATTTTGATTGGTTAGCTCAGAGCCTCCAATATACTATACTTTTTCCCTGGAGCTAACTAGTAATAAAGACTTGCGTAGTAACAATCTTGTTTATGCTCCTAAACCGGTTTTTTATCCCATGAAATTTTTTTTTCTCACCCCATGTTGACCATATTTATTCTGATTATTTATCGCACAATTTCATTTCACTTACAAACTGATTCAAGTTAACACTTTATATTAGTCAGCTAGCTTCAACATTAACAATTGATTTTATATAACAAATAACAATTTTTGATTTACTTATCACAAATTCCAAATGATGTACTCTGCCTTAAATCTGGCCAATTCTATGGATTATTAATGTCGATTTATAATTGTAGAACCTGATGAGAAATTATTGAAAAGAATATTCTTCGTTCATTCAATTGTGTTTTAATATAATGGGAATATTTCAGATATATATATATATATATATATATATATATATATATATATATTGATATCTCACCTTTGTATAACTACACCATCAGTTGGTAACTGAATGACTAACCAGAAACCTTGGAATTGTATGTTATTGGGTTGTTTATTATACTGTTGCAACGAGTCTGCTCCATTACCGAAGGCAATGAATAAACCATGAAACACAAATTCCCCATTTAATCCTTCACATTATACTCACGTTAGTTCATACTGTCCTCTTCGATTTAAAGTTCATATAGTTCAGTGGTTGAAGTAATCGACTTTTAACTACCATGTTATGTATTTGCGCCCTACCCTCGTTCTATGACTTGAGCAACTCATCCATCATCAGTGGCCATGAAAACATGTGCCTTGAAACTAAGATCATAAACATGTACTTGGAGACTTCCAGATTAGTTTGTTACATCAGTGAATGCCTTTTACGTTGCCTGACGGCACAAGTGAACCCTCTCTAGCTCTTATGTGTGAGTGATTTCCTAGTACAGTTGTATCTTTTAAATTTGATTTCTTGAAAATCTCTTTCAGATATTCTTGGAATGATTGAAAGCAAAGTCCGAAGCTTGCAGTATATTTTTGGGTTCCCTCAAATTACAGACCTATTTGATGTCTCTGAACGACAAGGGCAGGGTACATTTGCCTCTGTCTTAGCTGTCAAAAGTAAACAGGATCCTGATGAATCCAAATATTATGCTTTGAAAATGATTATCCCAACAGTCGATGTTCGTAGAATTGAGAATGAAATTCGTATTTTGAGAAGATTGGGGTAATATATGGTTACTCATTTATACAATAAAATACTTCCAGTGGTAAACATAATGTAATTCAAATGCATACAGCAATGCGGATTCGTGATCATGTCTTCATTTTAATGCCTTTTATTGATTACATCCCTTTCACAGTAGGCTAAGGAATATTTATTTCTTATGCTTCATTTTTTCTTGTGAGGACTATTATTTAACTGCAGATGAGAAAGAAATCAGACGATATATGCGCACACTCCTCTCAGCTTTAGCTCATGTTCATAAATACAAAGTAATTCACCGTGATGTAAAGCCTACAAACTTTCTTATGGATCAAAAAACGAAACAGTAAAAAATTTGTTTGTTTAATTGGCATATAATCTAGATTTTTTCTCGTAGATTTTGGTCTGGCACATTCTGAAGAGTTTGGTGATATTGATGAAAGATGGGAGCGCAAATTTGAAATCAACTCTGATTCAGATACAAAGAAAAATGAATTAATGAAAAGAGTTTCAAGTTTCCCTCGGGTAAGAAATAAAATTTCGTTTTAACTATGGTTTTAACATTACAGACAATTAGTTTTTGTGATGACGTAATAACTGTTTCCTGAGTCTTTAATTGAATTGGTTAGTCATTTATTTTAAAATTTATAGGTCAATTAAATCTTGTCTCAGCTCCTTTAAGTAGCTTCAAAACCTTTTAGTATGAAGATCATAAGTGAGGACTAAATCAAGCATTATATCGATTAAAAATTTTAGATATTCGTCTCCTGAGATGGCCGAAACATGCGCTATGTTTATTCACCCGCCGCTTACTTCGGAATGCTGTAATGGCTGGCATAGAAGTTTGGAAAAAATAAGTATGCAGGTCAAAGTGTGACATTGGCTTTTGGAGTCCTTGCTTCTTTGTTCAAATCATCTAAGTAGGTACAGAATTTCTAGTAGGGTGTGTGACACAATCAGTGATTAATAATTTCAGGCCAGATAGCTTAAATTTGATAGTAGTTGTATATCTAAAGGATACTCGGGCTATTCTGTATGACGACTGTTCGAACTCCTTACGTGGTAGTTAGTTATCGATTTTCCAGACCACTGTCTCTATCAATAACTAACAACTATCTAAATCACAAAGAACTATTGTTTAACAAATCTCTTTTTGTCAACTTCTAGAGGGTCCGTTTAGTGTTCTCGTTCTGGTTCTAGTAACAATGTCAGGTCCCAAGTCACATATCGTCTAGTATCGTTCGCTTTCATAGAACAAATGTAGCTTAAAATTTAGTAACTTAGCGTATTCAAAGCCACTTGTTAAATGAAGCTCTTGACAAAATTGTCCTACCATACTGTTTATTTCATGAATCAAGTTTTAGTTGAGACTATCATATAATCTATTTGTTTTTTTTTAGACAAATCTTAGCATAACAGAGAATAACCAGCGTGTAGATGTAACAAACAGAGAAAACAGTTATACTCATAAACGAGATTCCATGGATTCTACAAACTCATTATTCGCTTATAAGCGTAATTCTTCGAAAATTGATAAATCATCATTTAAAGGCTCATCGATCAAATCCAGTCAACAAATATCAAGTAACCTAACACAATCTTTAGGACAAGGAGGATGTGTTTGTGGTTCACGTCTCACTGTATGTCGTGGTTGTCGACATTTACCTCGAGCACCGAATGTTCGTAGGGGTGGAACACTTGGATTTAGACCTCCGGAAGTAATGATGCGTCATATCGAACAAACAACTGCTGTTGATATATGGGCTGTTGGGATTATATTTATTTCTTTCCTTTCTGGTCGTTATCCTTTTATAAAAGTAGACGATGATTTAGATGTACTTCATGCTTTCACTCATCTAATTGGATATGAACGCATGCAAATGGGTGCCAGAAGCATTGGTAGGAGACTGTTACTTGATCCTAGACCACCACCTATGGAAGCCAGTGATTCACCTGTTGTCTGGCTTAAAACAAGGTAAAATACGAATTTATGTGCAATATTTTACTTATGGTAATCCATTTTCTACTTAGTTTGTTGTTCTGTAATTTTGGATAGTAACACTTATCTATAGTCTTCTTTATAATCATATCATTGATCATATTATATTCCTATCATTCAAGATTAGCCTCTAAGTGGATGAATGAAACACAAATGATCAATTATCTTTAGATGCAACTTGTTGGAGATTCTGCTCGAACCACATAGTCTACCTAACCACCTATTTGTGTGACTGAAGACACAATTATTTCCATACCTCCTCAGCATAATCTGTATTAGTTGTTTACATGCGTAGATGTAAAGGTTGATATTTAAAAGTATGGTGGTTTTCATCCACTAGTTGGTAGAGAGAAATGCGTCACTCTTAACAAAATAATATTCTTTTTAAAAAAATGACATGAAAATTATATTGTCGTAGGAAAAAATTAGAACACTGAATGATAATCGTGTTTTTGTATTGTATCCAGTAGGGGAATCCAAATCACGTGTTTCGTCCTACTCGGGTCACTTTATGTGTATCTGTTAACTGTTTTTAAAGCTATAGGTACTGGATCCAGGTTTCATCGTAAAAATCAATATCATTGTGCATGATTTTCATACCAGATCTATATCCCCTCAGGCACAACTACTCATTTTTTTTCAAATACCATTGTAGTTACAATGACCTGGTTGAATAAAAAACCTTTAGATAAACCTTTCGTTACTCCCTTAAGTAATAAAGTGTATGAAGGTTTCATTCATTACACTAGTTTTACTTCGAATTGTTACAGTTTTCGTTGGATATAGTTAGTGCGTAAACTTAAATATTTTCAGTTGTAGTAAGGTTTAGATCTATTTGGTTGATAATCGAACTTGATGTTCACACTTATCCATCTTACAATCCAACTTGCATTCATGATTTGTTTGAGTAAACATTTAAACATCAATTTCCTGGTTTTCTCTGTAGACACATAGATATTGGTACAAAGGGGCACCAGATACATATGCGCCATACAAATCTCATTAGATTTGTGTGAGGGCTGTGATACTACCCGGGTGCCTAAACCGAAGTAGGTAGTTTCCTCAGGGGGCCACACCCGGAGCCTTCGACCTGAAGGTCTAATCCACAAGGCAGTGGAGCATCGTAAGAAGATACAGTCCCATGTTAGCCGGTGACCAACAATTAGTTCATACGTGATCTATTCCTTCAGGATACTGGAGTCCATGTGCACCATTGGTTTTGAATCAGGGTTTTCCAACTCCCCTAGGTGGATTCAAAGTCTTTTGCCCTTAACTGATGTACTTCACTATCATAATGTTACAGATAATCAGATCGTGAGCTTGTATGCAATTGCTAGTAACTTAGAGCAGACATTTGGGCAACTCTGAAATCAAATATTAGATCAGTGAATAAAGTGACTAACTAATGTTTGGATTTGTTCCAATTAAGGGTATTTTCGATCTGCTCTGAAAAATGTATTGACGAAGACAAACTTTTGTGAAGCTATATCAAGCTAACAAACTTTAATGGCCCTTGTTGTAGGCCTAAGTGATATATAAATTTTTTGATTAACAATTGAAGTTATCATTATATTGAGATGTGACAAAGGATTTTCGTTGAAGTGGCATAACTATTTTCGGTGCTACAATTATATTCATATTATATTGGTTCTCTGTAAGATGTTACTTCCTTTGATATCCTTTTTTCCAGCTTATTTTTCTTCGTGATATTTAAGAGTACTGTTACACAGAAACCTGAATTTCAGTGAGTGGGATTTTTGTCACCCCCTTTTTATCATTAAATTTAGACCCTACATTGTCTTTGTCATATGTATCTTATTGATTTCTTACGTATTATTATTATTAATCCATACTTTCTATTCTCTTTACCGCTTATGTAATCATTTGAATAATCATAAATTTGATTGTATGAATGAATATTTAAGATTTGATATCGTACTATTAATTATGGTTTCTTGTAGATGCTCTGCAATTAGACTATATGAGAAAAAATTCGCTGGTCTACCTCCTTTATTACGTAAAACTACAGTAAAGTCATCTAATTTAACCAATGATAATTCTGTACAAACTACAGAATTATCTAATGGGAAACCAATGATTGCTTTATCCTCAACGCATATTTTTCCCACTTCAGCTTATGATCTTTTAGCTCGTCTATTAGAACCATGCCCACAGAAACGAATTACTGCTCAAGATGCACTTCGTCATCCATATTTTTGTAATACTAAAACTCAACGACATTCTAGTATACCATTAAAATATCCAAATATACAATCAAGTTCACTACTTCATAAACGTACATCTCGTTCAAGTTTTTGTGAATCAACAACAAATTTTATACCGAGACCACAATTTTGTTGAAAGACTAGATTATTGATTTTCTAAACTTATCTTTGTAATAAATTCAGATATTTAGTCTAAATGATTTTTGGGACGGGGGTGGGGTGGGGTGATTTTCTCCATCAGTATATCATTAACCCCATTTATTGGACATATCACAGTAAATTAATCACATTGATTGATTGATCCAAACATTCAATTGCTGTACAGAGATTGTATCTTTCGTATGTAAAGTAGCTTTTTCAATGTCTTAGTAACATTGTAATCAAAGTTCAAAAAATATATTTATGTTTTATAATTTTTTAATAATTTATTTTCCATGTTTTTGTTCTCAGTTCGTTGTCGACATGGACTTAGGAATGGCATTTTCTTTATCTAACTTTTGAGAGATTAACTTTCTTCCGAAGAACCAGTTGTTAGCTTTAAGATAAGATTGATCTGTTTGTTACAAACCCAGAGAAAATTCATAGTTTGCTGAATACCTTGAGTAACAATAAACTAATTTTCGGGATGTGTTTATCTTTGTTTAAGTACAAAATGTCACCTCAAGACTGGTATGTGTCAGCGTTTAGTCCGGTCAGAGGGAGTAAAGTGATACTGTACTGACAAATATACTTATCTAGTTAGTCTGATAAACTGTGGTAGGTTGGTGTCTGATCAAATACTCACGATTGCTATTATTACTTTAATTCCTTTGCTAAATGATTAAGGTTTTCCAAATAACTATGGGGTTTGAATTGGAGGTTTTAGGTTCGAGTCCCATTTGGAAATAGTTACATTACACTGATAAATCCCAGATAGAATAAAACGCGTGTCTCCAACTACGCTGCTACCTAAAATCCAAATTACTACTAACTGTTGAATAGAAACACCTCATTTAGTGAAGTGGTGGCTTAGGTTTCTTACTTTCAACCACTGGGTCATAAATGAGTCTCGCTCCATTTATTTCGGTTTGCACAGCTGGTTCGTATCAGTTACACTTGCTAACAAACTATGGCTATGTTTTATGAATAATTTTGTCATTCCATCCTTTTAAATGAACCGAAATGTCAGATATCCTTTATATTTGTTTAGCTTTCGTAAGTGTTTCTATTCGTTCACTTTCAACCCTGGTCATGTATTTTAGTCCCAACTATTATTGATTTCAATGGAGTCTGCAACGTGGTCATGGAAATCTCACATCTAAATCAAACTATTGTTTAGTTGTGTGCATATTTTCGAAAAAAAGTAGTGTAAAGTAGCTTTCGATTTGACAGGTCAAATGTAAATGAAATTTCTAAGACATTAGAATAGTAGATAAAGCTCAGAATCAACTACCAAATACACATTAAAATGGTTTGTTTACTTCAGAAAATAATGTGGTTGTGAGAGATATCTCTAATTGACTATAAATCGAATTATCAATTATTGGATGCTAACGTGACCTGAGGAATGCTGATGATGAAGTATGAGACTTAATTTATCTTTGTATTGGTTGTTTGAATCTTCCCATTGACCTTAGGTCACAAGCATTGTAGTCAGACATGATGATGGCTAGCAATGTAATCCAGGACGCGCGTTTCATCTTATTAGGGATTCGGACCCAATGTCGTTTGCTTCGGACAACATCACATTATACACCTGGTGCATCTAGCTGAAGAGTCCCAAATAGGACGAAACTCGCGTCCTGGATCCCACGGCTAGCCATCATCTTTTCGAAGTATGAGACTACTTAAATAATATTTCAGTAACTCAATGAATTTTTAAAAATATTTTAAATCTCTGTTGGATGTAGTAATAAATGCATAAATCAACTTCCAACTATTATTAGGCAGTAGTCTCTAGTATTGAGCAGCAATTTTCAGCTTCAGAATGTAGATAATAGTGTTAGTCAAGAAATCACGACTACTAGGACCCGCAACATACTTTGGAAGGTATCAGATACTTTCTAGCTGCATATGTAGTACTTGCCAAATCGGAACTTGTATCATTGAGGGAAAAATCCTATGGGTCACTTTGTAACAGACTATTTATCATGCAACTTGACTTTCCTACCTGTGGTTTAAGTTTTCCAGGAAAGGAATATTTTAGCTGAGAAATTATCAATAAGATGATAAACGCGAATAAATAATGAAGTGAAAAGTAATTTCTAAGAAGCGTCTCCGTAAGATGCTAGTTTAATCAAATCGTTTGGGTGATAACCTTAGTTTCTATGTAAGCGCAAATTACAATTTAAAAATGCGTTAACATCGATTTAGGCTGGTTAACATAAATTGACGTTTTTATCGCTGAAAGTTTAACCAACCAAAAATGAAAAATACGTCAACTGATCAAGTACGCACAAAGATAACACGGTCAGATCTTCTTGTTAAAGCTTCATATCCAGTTGTAAAGACCAGAAAAATTTAAACTGGAACAGTAGTGTTAATTAATTTTATGTATGATCGTATAGTATATTTTAGTAATCATAATATTACTACAAACTTGAGAAAACCTAAGTCATTCTAGTTACTGACTTTGCATTCTTTCTAAGTTCAGTCGATTTGATTTATTTACTTATTTAAACGCATAACCAATGGTACAAGGAGGAACCAAATACATATGTGCCACATAAATCATTCGATTTGTGTGAGGGTTAGGATACTATCCGGGTTCCCAAACCGAAGCAGGTGGTTTTCTTAGGGGGCCACACCCGTAGCCTTTGACCTAAAGGTTTGATCCACAAGGCAGTGGAGAAACATAAGGAGATGCAGTCCCATGGTAGCCGGTGACCAACAATAGATTGTTACGCCATTTTTCCCCTTAGGATACTGGAGTCCATGCACACCATTGGTTTTGAATCAGGGTTTTCCAACTCCCATAGGTGGACTCTCCGTGTTCACCGACCCGGTTAAAGTGCCGGATATTCGCTTTTCGTCCTCTTAATTTCGTAAACAACACCCTCGCCACGAGAATGCAGTGAGTAGGACGTCCCTGGCAGAGGCTATATACACATGGCCATGTGAGAGCATTTCTAGAGGGAGAGCTGACTCTCCCTACTTTCGGCCGTACCAGGGCATTTGGGGGATTAATCAAGCGCTAAATGCATATTCTTATAACTTAATCGCATTGGAGATCATACACTGATAATTACTAACTATGCTAAATGTTCGGTATTGAATAAACTGACATATTCAACTTATATGATTGAATAGAATACATTACGTAGACGATATCATTCGAATAATTATGTTTATAAGGCACCAATACGTATATATGATTTGTACTATCATATTTGCACTTAACTATAAAGCATACCTAGAATCTTCAGTAAACTTATACATCTTGTGGGATTCTAAGCTTGTAATGTAAATAGAAAATGATCAGTATACAAAGGTTGCTTTTTATTCCAGTTTAAGACTTTTTAATACCAGGAATATAAGCATGAAGAATGAAGTTAAAAGTGTTGACTATACTTTATAATAAGTATTGCTTTTTATACAATTAGGGGGGGGGATAGGCTGATGTTTTCATGATTCATTACAACAATTTATAGCACACTTCTTTTATTCATTTTATCAGTTTAAACTACGTAAAAATGACAAAATTTTCCAAAATATGTTGAAATCATTTAGTGGGCCTGCTTGAACATTTGGACTACTTGCAAAAACGGGACAAAGAGCAAATGAATATGGAAACCGTTCAGATTAAATGACCATACAAACCTGAGAATAACCGCTACAGGGATTGAGAGAAAGTATAATTAAAATGACAAATACAATGAATGTTATAAGTATATGTAAATACTTTAGAATATTACACGATAAACTTGTGCAACAACAACCGGGTTGGTGGACACGGAGAGTCCACCTATGAGAGTTGGAAAACCCTGATTCAAAACCAATGGTGTACATGGACTCTAGTATCTTGAGGGAACAATTGGCGTATGAACCAATCGTTGGTCACCGACTACCATGGGACTGCATCTCCTTACGTTGCATAATGTGTGTATTGCCTCGGTATTGAGATGCAGGATCATCCAGCTGACGAGTCCCAAATAGGATGAAACGCGCGTCGAACTAGATTCCACTGATAGCCACTATCCATCTTTGCTTATAATGCTTGTGAATTAAGGTAATATCGAGGCAATACGCACAGTATGCACACATGCCAATAAGAGACTGATCAATCTCAGTCCTAAAACATCAATGGGAAGATTTAAGTAAAACAATACCAAGTGAATCTGTTCAGCTTGTTTACATTCTCTGCCCTTACTAGCTTCCAGTCAATTTTTTTTGTATATTGTTTGATGTTACTTATTACTTTTATTCAGTAAACAGTTATATTCCTAGCAATTTCTAGGCATATGTTGTTGCACAAGTTTATCGTGTAATATTCTAAAGTATTTACATATACTTATAACATTCATTGTATTTGTCATTTTAATTATACTTTCTCTCAATCCCTGTAGCGGTTATTCTCAGGTTTGTATGGTCATTTAATCTGAACGGTTTCCATATTCATTTACTCTTGGTTCCGTTCTTACCTGTTGAAAAACGATTACACACAGCTATCACCTGTCATTTGTAATATCATATGCGATAATTAATCTTTATGTTGTTGTTGTCGTTGCAGCAATCCCTTTCTATTTTATACCTACAGACGTTCTAACCGCCACAGATACTTCAAAAATTGAGGTTTGTAACTACTCTACATCTATTCCTCGATATAGAACCACTTTTTAAATAAATCACATATTTTTATGAACTTCAGTTTTGCATATATCTCAATCATGCAGTTAAATGCTTTGATAAATTTAACAGTATCAAAGTACAATTAATTGGAAAGAATACAGTTTTTGTTATAATCAAACATCTGCTGGATAATTAAAGACAACTGAAGAACGTCATTTCGCTATTTTATTATATTTATAACTCCTTCATAATGCCTATTTATTATCATGTTTCAAATTTTATCCAGAACTCCAAGATTAAAGATTTTAAATCAGTCAATTATCATTCAACCTTATAATCAGTAGTATTATTAGCAAAATGTGAACTAAT